CCGCTTACGAGTAGTTTGGTGACTCGAGCCGCTTCCTCCAGAACATCGGCGATGCAGGGGACATTCGTTGACGATCTTTAACAACAAGAGTCCACTTAGTGCAGTACTTAGGTTTTGTGAATGGAGATAGATGCAAAAAGCGACTAGGCCTATGCATTATACCGTAACTTAGTCCATTGGCAAAGACTAACTACCTGCCAACCCTACGAATTATCCGAGGTTGAGGCCGAAGCATAGATACCTCGTCTAGTGTTATGCATCCTGTAGGAGTCACAGAGTGATAATCATGCCATCGAGAATAAGGGGCACCTGAGGTCGTCATTGTAAGGCATCATATCGTCGTAAGGGGTAGTCTGATGCGAGCTACACTCGATCCACATCCGGTGAGGTCCGCAATCGATTGATAGATGAAGTAATGCTACCACTGTCATGCGATAAATACTTTGACAATAAAAGCCAGTGGATCTGAAGGCATAACAAACCGCAAAATCTCGGTGGTGCATGTTACTTTACCAAGACCGACACAATGCATTGGCCGACGTGGCAGAGCTGTAATCTTTCCGTCGGTAGGAACTAGGTGTCTCGAACGTAAAGTTCAAAGTGCCCTCAAACGGCCAATTGATCCGAAGAGCTGTATCAGCAAGAGCGATTATAGTCAGGACGTCACATATACAGAGCGTCCGAACCTATCGTTGTGATAGGCGAAGGAGATCCAGAGGATGAATGTCACGCCAAAGCCTAGACTTGAGGCTCTTGTTCAGATGCAAAAAGAGACTGCACAACCGAATTCCTTTTCAGAGCTCAGACCAAGGATTGAACAATTGCATGCTGATTGTTAAAAGACCGAGTCGGAGATTAAGTGTGCAGCATGAGGACAAAGTTGGCTGCAAGTGAGCTCTCCTTGAGCGATAGGCGTCGTACAGCATCCTCACGTGAGAGCTCACCACATGAACCCGGAGTTTGGATATTTGAAGCGGAAATTCTGGTGCTCATGTAGCGAAGAGGTCCAAACTTAGAGAATCAATAGGAGTGTTCACGGGAACTTGGGTGGTGATTGTAAACATTAGCTGGCAGCTGAACCTGAAGGACAACGGCTGGTGAAGTTACGGGTCAACCACACAAGTCCCAGGCAATCGCCTCATATACCGGATCAACAGGGCGAGGTTGAGATAGTAGGAAAGGGATCCTGGCAGACAAAATCCAAGCAGATTTCATCAAGACAAACCCTTCCAGCTCGATGAAACTATTGATCAGACCAACTTCTGGTCGCCAGTGAAAGAAGCGATGGTCGAGTTCTGGGCCGGTGGGAAATAGTATTAATCCGTCGCTGGACGCAGAAACAAAAAGCCGGCCCTCCGCGTCGGCGCGATCATCCCAATATGAAACTATATCCTCGTCCCCGGTTTCTCATCAGATTCGGTGCGATGGTATGCCTGCAATTCGATCGCGAGATCATGTTTGCTGTGTCCTGCTCGTCGCCGACGGCCTTCGGCGCTAACCCTTTCGAATTTCTCCCCGCCCAGGCAATTTTAGCCTGTAAAACCTTGCCTGCTGTTCGCGCGTCTTCCGTCCTTCAACTCTCTCCCTCCTCCACCATCCGGAGCATCGCTCCACCATCCACCTTCGCTTGTCCCTGGCGCTTTTATCACCTCCAGCCACAATGAACTCTCGAGACCACGCCGATATGCCTCCGGCTCCTTCCTACCCGTCCCCCAACGCGGCGCAGATGAGCCAAGGCGCCATGCAGTACTACAACCGCCAGTTGACCGCCGACGAACTTCTGTCAGCTGAGCTTTCGCGCGAGACCTCTGGACCTGGCCTCGCCGATGGCTCAAGCAATGGCGTCCACCATGGTCAGTCGATGGTTTTAGGATCCTCCAATCCTGGTGGCGCTGATATGGGTCGTCCTTCCTCCCCCGACCAGCACCAACAACAGCATATGCTGCAATTCACCCCGAGCCAGCAAGTCGGAGTCGACCCCAACCACGACCTGAGCTATGGAGACCAGAGCGCGAGACGGAAGAGATCCAAGATTTCTCGGGCATGCGATGAGTGCAGGCGCAAAAAGGTACACTCGACACGCTTTTTCCATTTTCCTCATCTAGACGCGACGCGGGACCGGGTGAGCTAACATGTTACTTTTACTAGGTCCGTTGCGATGCAAGCTCGGAATCCGGTGTCGAAACTTGTTCAAATTGTCGCCGGCTTGGAGTCGTATGCCAGTTCAGTCGTGTTCCCATGAAACGTGGCCCTAGCAAAGGGTAAGGATCGCGATGCGCGTATGGGTTTGCCGTTGAAGATGAAGTTTGGCTAACGTCGATGATAGTTACATTAAGGAGCTTGCCGAACGATTGCATACCCTCGAAAGCCAGATGCAACCTACTATGGTTCATCCCGACATGCCATACCAGACTATGAACGAAGTGTCTTCTCCAAGGGCGTACCAAGACTTTTCGCCACCAATCGACGCTGGCCCTATTGGTCGCAAGAGAACATACTCCGTGTTTGAAGGGCTTCCAAGCTCATCTTTCGCGCAGGCGCCGTTCAATCCTCGCTCTCAGAATGCTTTTGGTTCGTGACCACCTGCCCGTCGCTATTGTAAGTTTGTGACTGACCCTACTACTAGAGGCTGGAGAAAGCGCAACGGATCCTTGCAATCCCTCGGTCGTGAATCACACCGCACCCAAATCCGGAAATCTCTTCTGGTCAACTGGCAATGAGACCGACTTGCCGGCTGGGCTTGACATACCTGAAGTGCCTAAGCAAGCATTGGATGAGGATATGACACCCTTGGATGTGGATGAAGGCGCTCTCAACGCGTAAGTTCTATAGTAGAGATGAATATTTGTCGGGCAAGCTCTCTAACCTCAAACAGGTACTACCAAAAGATTCACCCAGTCCTCCCCATCTTGCCACACTCAAAGGAGCGGCTTCTTGAGCTTCTGCACCAATGCAGCCGAGAGGTGCAGGAGATATTCCTGTACAGCTTGCTCACGGTGACACGTACCAACATGGACCGCATGACAAATGCGTTTGAGAGGGTAACATCGTTCGACAATGCACAGGATCTTCTCTTGTACTATACACGACAGCCTGCCATGCTCCGCCCGGCAGCTATCAACTTGATCTGGCTCCAGACTTTACTCCTCATGATTGTTGACTGTGACTCGCGGGGCCCAGACAACTTCGTGATGAAGGATGGAGTGCCAAAGCACACTCTCATTCAATCTGCGACAAAGCTCGGCTCTGATATGGCGAAAGCCTTCGGACAGCTGAGAACCAAGCGATCGTCTGATCCTGACGTTGACTCTGACGCGAACCTTGTAAGGCGCAGTTGGGTCTCTCTGGCCCTTCTGTCTCGCTGGTATGCAATTAGCGTTGCTGATTATAGTGTTTTGGGGACGTTCGAAATCGGTGGCCGCGAGGATGAGAGAGTCCTCGGCTCAGCCACCGCGGGGATTGCATCGTACTCTACGATCCTCATCGAAATGGTCACTCTCGTCGCTCAAGAGCACAACGTATGCCAGACAAACACAGGGCTGGGCCGTCTGGTTGGAGCGAACATGGTCGCAGGTCTCGAGCGTCTGGCCGAGGTAGCAGATTTCCGCAAACCGCACGAGAATCCCGAGGATGGCACATCGTATGGCTTTTTTGAAAGTCTACAAAACCAGTTGTACTGGACCAGTCGCCTCCTGATCAAGCGGCATATATTCGTTCACAGTCCATACGAAATTATTTACGCCGCGGAAGAGGTTATGAACGAGTTGCACAAGGCCAGTATGCAGTCCCGACTGGCGACACCATTCGACCTGCATAGTCTTGCGCTGGCATCCATGACTCTTCTCGAGGCTACTGTGCTTCCCGAATACTCGAACCAATGCTGGGAGGCGCTCAAAAAGCTCGAAGAAATCCTCGACTACCGCTCCAAGCGCTCTGCCGAATCCGGTGAATACGGCGACATCTTTGGTACCCCCGGTTGGGATTCGAAGATCCGCGTCTTCCTGGAATGGAGACGAACCAAAGCTCAGGAGACTCAGCTCCATGACCCCAGCCTCGGAAAAAGCGGCTCTGCAGCTCCGCCTGTGATGGGCCCGAACGAACAGCGCTCTCTCCAACACCTCGCTGACCTGGCTGTCGGTGCGGAAGGCCAAGTAGCCGCCAATGCCTCCTCTCCGCCCCCGGCCATCTCTGAACACAACCTGAATGCCACATCGCCAAACATGACATCACCCGCGCAACCGCATGGTCACGTGGTCGTGGATTTCACTCTCCTCACCAAGGAAGGTTACCTCAACGTCTTCTCCGGGTTAATCTACCGTCGCCGGTAAATTAGGTTGTATACTGGGATCGGTTGCATGGAGTGTATTTCAGTGATCACTGTCTTTTGGAAAAATTGAGTTGATTCAATTTGGCTTGGATTTTCTCTTCTCTTCTTAACCCTCTCCAAAAAAAAAAGAAAATGATCGGCAATACCTCACCATACTAATGATTTGCTTTTATGTGACTAGCGCAACTATTCTCTTCTTTTCGTGGCCCCTGTATAGCTAAATGGATATTATTATTGCTTTCCCCATGTGGTATTTGAAGCGTAACCCATCGAGTAGTTTATTAGCTTTACTTATACGTCCCGGTAATATCCTCATCTACATACGTACTTAATTTTCTAGCCAGGTCGACAGCTTCCCCTTTCCGGTTTAGTGCTCACCATTCGCCGCTTTTGCACACTGAGTAGACCTGAGCACGCCCTGAGCAACCTGAGGCGATCACTGAGCACGGGGTGAGCGGAAGACTGAAAGCCCTGAGTAACCTCAATAAACTGCACCCCAACTAGCAGTCTCCCCCTTGCCCATTTCTCCACTCCGACTTCTCTTTTGCCCGCCACACTCCCAAAAATCCCAGCACTGCCATTACAAAATGACGAATTAGGGAAGCTATTTTTCCTTTTGATGCCCACGACCTTTTCCCAAGGGGGAAATGCTGTACTGTCGCGCTGCACCAACATGGCCAACATCTTTCTGGGTTTTCTCCGTCGAAAGACAGCACAAGCCCAGATCTTCATGGGAGCGTCCCTGACGAACATCGCGCCTCGTCTCCAATGGATGTCGGGACATATCCGCGAAAAGGTTCGAGCTCAGTGGGAGCACGGGTGGTAGCCCTGCACCAAAGGCGGTCATTTAAGGTAGATCGACAACACGCTGCCGGCAGCGCACACTCAGAAGTTATATGGAAGTCTGCCTGGGGGCCGGGCATACTGGCTGTCTACTTACGCCAAGACTTTTGGGTTCCGCGAGGATGACTACGTCGATTCAGAGATGACATTACACATTGGACTTGTTCATAGATAGAAGTATGATCTGTGGAAGCTTTAAGGTTGCCAAGCAATCTACACATGATTCTATGAGTTTTAACGAGAGGCTGGTGGCCAAGTTGCAGATCCTCCATATACAGCCCGACTTCCTAGTTGGGCCTCCTACCTGTTTAATATAATTGCCTCCTTAGGACTAGTGGGATTCTTAAACTGCACAACTGAGTAACTACCTACCGACATACCTACACATATGTAGGTATGTAATCAATTAGTCTCAGTTAATCTCAACTGATTATACAATGAGAAAATGGAATACCCCAAGACACGCTCTCATATTCATTTCTGAACTATTCATGCTTCAGACTACTACTTCCCACACCACCTTGCCCTGATTAATACCACAACGACCAAATATATCACTGCTATACGGAGCTGGACATCTTTGGGGGACCTCCTTCTCGTGCTAGGGGAGCTTGACGCGCGCCACCATCTCTGCTGTGATGCCACCCCCGGATTGTTCGCAGCGACAGATTGCACCGAAAGCAGATGGCTCTAGAGCCGATCTTGGAAACGTACCGATCACACTAGACGAGCTCGAAATCGATTCGCACCCCGCATCGCGCCCTCATACTGAAGGTTAATACGCATATACCCTTGAACTTATTAATTGAGACCAATGCACTCACTCATAATGACACACAGGCCCAAGCTCTGCTCAAGAGAGCGTGATTGTCACGTGGAACGGAGAGGATGACCCCAAAGATCCATACAACTGGCCCCTTTCTAAGAAATGGCAAGCCACGGGCATTGGCTTGCTTGCGAGCTTTGTCTGCTCGATGAATGGAACCATCCTAACGGTGGCTCACGCGGCCATTGGGGACGAATTTCACATTTCCGATGCGACGTTCCCCAATACTTACTGGCTAACAACATCTTGGGGTATCGGGGCCGCACTGTGCCCGCTTCTTCTGTTTCCTGTGATGGAGGACTTTGGCGTTCGACCCGTCCTTCTCACCACCTATTTTTGCTTTATTTCATTTTTGATTCCTGTAGGGCTGGCACCAAACTTTGCCACCCTGATTGCGGTTCGATTCTTCAGCGGAGGATGTGTTCCGCTGATAAGCGACGCCGTTGCTGGTATTACATCGAATGTCTTTCACGGCGATCGAGCCCGGAGTGTCCCAATTTGTCTGTACGTGACCATCTATCTGGTGGCAACAAGTCTGGGCCCGGTGGTCGGCTCTGCCATCCTGCAATTCCTGTCATGGCGCTGGATTGGGTACATCGAACTGATCTGGACCGCTGCCCTATTTCCGATTCTGATCTTCGGTCTGCCAGAGAGCCGCGGGCCGGCGATCTTGCGCGCTGAGGCCAAACGACTGCGCCGCGAGGGGGCGAACGCGTACGCGACCGAGAAGATTGATCGAGGAGCATTGCCTCAGCTTATCCTACAGAGCGTTCAACGGCCTCTCTACATGCTATGTACTGAAGGGGTCGTGTTCGTTGCGACGGTGTGGGCTGCCTTCAGCTTGGGAACAATCTATCTTTTTACGCAATCGGTCGAGCAAGTATACAAGGAGCTATATAGGTGGGATTCTATCCAGTGTGGATATGTCCAAGTTGCAATTGTGATCGGGGAACTTCTGGGCGGTGGATTTTGCATCCTAACCGATCCCTGGTACTATGCATCTGCGACTCGCAATACCGAGGCACCGGGCACGCCGATCCCGGAGGCTCGGCTTCATGCATCGATCATTGGTGGACTATTTGGTGTCACGGGCGGCATGTTCGTGTATGGGTGGACATCGTACACTTCCATACACTGGATGGCACCCACCGTCGGCCTGGCGATGGTAGGGTTTGGGACGACGGCGGTCATCGTTGGCAATGCTAACTATCTCATCGACGCGTACAGCAAGTATGCTGCGAGCGCCCTCGGGGCAGTGGGTTTCGTCGAGAACATCTCTATCGCCTTTCTCCCTCTGGCCGCAGCAGCCTTGTACACGAATATTGGGTTTCAGTGGGCCAGCTCGCTGCTTGCATTTGTGTCTTTAGCCCTGGTGGCAACTCCTTTTGTGGTCCTCCAATGGGGAAAAGAGATCAGATCTTACAGCCCTTTCATGCAGGAGGCCACTGTAGAGCGGAGGAGCGACAGTGCTGCGGCCGCAGGTGTATAGACAACCAGGGCCTACAGGTGCTGTGCTCTGTGCAGCGCCCCCTCTTAGGTGTATAACCATTTTAATTGCGTGAATTTCTCCAAAGATTCCTATGATATGGACAATTGTGGGACTGAACTGGCTACTGTTAGTCGGAACTGGCCAATGAATATATAGCATATTTTGATCAAGGGGAGCTAGCTAGTCAACTACTATATTTGTATAGCTAAATAATTAGAGCGGCTATACCTGACCATTATACCTTAACCGTAACCTGACTGTTAACCGGTGGTCAAATCAAGAAATAAGATTTCTTTTAGCTGCATAATCAAGATCAGGTTTAAATTAGTAGGTTATTTGAGTAATTATTAACCATTCTTAACTTCAATTTAGAGTTAATAAGTATAGAATCATCTAGTAAATCAAAGCAAGCAAACCACTTCTAGAAGAGATAGAGACACCAAATATAATATATATATATCTCTCTTATTTAGTATGTCACATGTGTATTATGTCATATGTGGGATACTGAACATATACAAAGACTCATAAATGATTTATACTATTATATGTAGAATATTAAATATACAGAGAGTGGCTATATAGAGAATAGGCTGAATAGCAGATAGCTATATAGAAAGGAAAGTAGGTTAAGACTTAAGACCTAACTAATAGGTCACAAAAAAAGAAATAAACATACAAATAGGAAAGTACTAATGAGTAGACAAGAATTTATTTCTGAAGCTGGTAAAAGGAAATGACCAATTAGTGAAAGAATAAATATTAACAGTACACAAAATAGCCAACAAGTATATAATCGAATTAGCATATTTTATTTTTACATTGCATGGAATAATCCATACGGTCATATCTCCTGGGACAGTTTGTTCCATACTGAATTACCACAGTTTTACCGTAGCTTTTCAACACTTCCGGATATGAAGATATGAAAGAACCTAATTTGAGCATACGCAGTAGATATGCTCGATTGTCCATGTCAGGTATGCTGGCTGAACAGAGTATGTAGGCTATGTATACTAAGTTAATCCCACTCCGTCTTTCCCGGCCGCAAGCTTGAGATTGGCCCATCGGAATTGAACATATCAATCCGGTCTCGATAATGACGGGTAAGTTGTTCATCGACCAGTGGTGCGGGATAGACGTCGCCGCCCAGTACGTGCTCACCGGTAGGTAGGCCCTTGAGCATCGCAGCAAGGGCACTTTCATCGGCGAGGCCGTCAATTATGGTACCAATGCGGGCCAATGCGCTCTTCGGATGCGCGGCAGCGTACGCCAATGCTCTCAGCTGCCATTCGTGGAAGGGTAGGAGCGTACCCGCGTCATCACCACCCATGAGCTGGAAGAATTGGTTGCAGCTCACCGCATGCTTGTTGACAAAATCGAAGTCGTGTCCAATCCGGGACCGGTCGTGGACCATGATGGCAACAACGGTTTTGCTCAGGTAATCGACGGGTTGCACAACCGAAAGATCGGCGTCCAAGGAGGGGAAACTTCCCATTTGGATGCTCCCAGCAATCAAGTTGTGTAAAAAATCGCCCCGGTCGACTCGGAAGTGACCGGTCGCGGCCGAGGCAGTGACAAAGGGCACACGGTACACAGAGGCCCTGGCTCCGCGCCATCGTGCCGCGGCCACCATGCGCTCTGCAATGTATTTGGAGGTGGAGTAACCGTATTCTCGATCGTGCTCGGGAACATCATAGCCCATATGCATCGGCAAGGTTGCGAGAGTACTTATAACATGGACTGCCTTTCCACGGCCACGCGAGGCTAGGCGCAAGACCTCATGCGTGCTGATGACGTTAGGGCCGATATAATCATTCAGGGGCCGCAACCAGTCGACTAGGGCGCCTGAATGGCAAATAGCATCGACACGGTTGGCCAGGTCATCAAAAGCCACGTTGGTCAAACCAAACAAAGGCTTTGCTGCATCGCCAACAACCGGGTTGAGCAGTGGCGCATAGTCGTGCTTCCAGAGGTCGTAGCTGGCGAGCGACTCTACCAACCGCTGCTGGCCGTGTTTGACGCCCTCGGCACGTACCAAACAGTGGGCGGCGATACCCAACTCGAGGAGCTCGCGCAGAATGAAAACACCGACAAAGCCAGTAGCACCTGTGACGAAGACAGAGCTTGGACGTTGAACTTCTCCTATATTATCAAAGGCAATATCAGGATCGAGATGACCTTTCCGGGCCGCTTCCATGGTATACGTTGTGCTGTTTACCGACTGCTTCCGAGTATGATCCGATACCGAGCAGCTTTGCTTGCTCTGTGCTTGTGTCTCTGACTGTACCTGAGACAGCAGGAAATGGCTAAGGGATCTCAGGTTTGGATACTGCCATGTGATGCTCCCAGCCGACAGAGTTTTGAGGCTAGTCAGCGCGGACAACCGGTTGCGCAACAGAACGGCCGTTAATGAATCAAAACCAATATCCTGTAAGGGTATATCCACATCCACCTGGCCAGCTGACGTGAACCCTAGTGCTATGGCTACTGTTTCTCGAACCATGGCCAGCACAATGGCTTCGTGCTGCCCCGCAGGCGCTTTGCTCAACGCCGTGCGCAGGTTCCCAGCTCGCCCGCTGTTTCTCGGCTCGTTACTGCTTCCCTTCCTTTCCTGTTCACTTAAGAGCTTGCTATAGAATGATGGTATGCCGCCCCTCTCTGCATGCTCATTCTTCAGGTAAATCCGGAGTCGTTCTGGGTCAAGGGCCGCGGCCACGGTGAGCGCCCGGCCACCGCGAATAGCCTGCTCCAACAACTTCAGGCCCTCTTCGGGCTTCAACGGATCGAGACCGAATTTGGCAAGGTGAGTCAATGTCGTCCTACCAGTCAGCCCAGCCGCCATGCCCTCTCCCTCCCAGACTCCGTATGCCACTGAGGTGGCCGGCAGGTTCTGGGCGCGACGTTGATGAGCTAGCGCATCAAGAAAGGCGTTTGCGGCTGCGTAGTTCCCTAGACCAGGCATGCCCAGAACCCCCGCGACCGACGAGAACATCATGAACACGTCTAGATCCATGCCTTGAGTCAGCCAATGAAGATTCCAAGCGCCATCCACCTTCGGTGCAGATGTTGTGGCACATCGCTGCGGTGTCATGGCTGAGAGAATGCCGTTATCCACCACGCCGGCCGCGTGAATCACCCCGCGCAATGGTCTCTGCACACTGAACATGGCCATAACTAACTTTAGGCTTTTCGAAATCCGCTACATCACAGGCGATCACAGTAGCTCTGCTGTTGAATTGCGACAGCTCGGCCACAAATGCTGCAGCACCGGAGTCTTCCATGCCGCGACGAGATATCAGCACCAAGTCGTGAACGTGGTGGGTGGTGGCCAGCCACCTGGCCACACGCTTGCCAATGCCCCCGAGGCCGCCTGTGATCAACACAGCACCATCCTGGCGCAGAAAGTGTCGCTGCTGCTCGACAACTGGCTTCAGCTTCTTCACTTGCTGTAGCCGGGGCATAAATACCTGTCCTTGTCGTACAGCGCATTCCGGTTCTTCTGACAGCGTTAGCGCGAGGAGGAGGGCCTCTGGTGCCCCCTTATCCTCATCTAGGTCGATGAGACGCAGGCGAAGGTCTGGATGCTCATTGCGAGCGGTGCGCATCAAACCCCACAGAGGCCCGGTACCCAGCCCGTTCATCTGACCAGGATCAGCGTCGTAGCCGCCAGTCCCTACTGCTTGACAGGTGACCCAAACTAGTGGCAGCGGAAAGCTGGTTGTCGCTGCCATCTGGAGCTGGGTGAGCGCTTGTGTGGTGTGTTGAGAGGCCTGGCGTGGAATGTCTGTGGAGGACGATGTATCCCATAGGCATAGCAGCCCGTCTAGCTGCTGCGCCTCTTCGAGTCGCTGCACCCGAGTTAACCGTATCACGGTCTGGGATAAGGCCCTTGTGACAGTTGATGCCCACTTTCCATTACCAGCCGGGCAAATCAAACCCCACGAGCGGCTACTGTCCTTCAGCTGTACATTCTCCTTGTTCAATCGGTGCCAGACGACCTCGAATTGAAAACGGTCAGTGTCCCCGCTGGAGGGAGGCCCGTCAGCCTGGTCGTTGCCTACCACTGTGTTGCCGTTAAGGCCAACAGACATCGCCCGCAGCTGTCTGAACCAGCGATCACGTTGGAAGGCATAGGTTGGCAATGTTACCAATTGACAACCCCATGGCTTGAAGTATGCGAGCCAGTCAATGGGCACATTCCTCACGTGCAACTCGGCAAGACTGCGTCGCACGACCGAGATGTCATCTTGCTTACCCGTTCTGAGAGAGGGCAAAAGGAGAGGCGATGCGTTGTCATCGTCATCATGACATTGATGACTCGTAAGACATGCTGCTGTGAGGCCCAACAGCACGGGATGCGGACCGAGCTCCAGGAATATGTCGATACCATGCTGGTGGTAAATCGTTTGAATGCTATCACTGAAGCGAACCGCCTGCCTTGCCTGCTGGACCCAATATTCGGGTTGTTCCAGTTGTCCTTCTTCAGCCAGTAGGCCAGTCAGACTGCTGATCACGGGCAGCTTAGGTCGGCTGAATTGCAGCGTTTTCACCACGGCCCGGAAGAGTGGCAGCATATCGTCCATGTGCGACGAGTGGAATGCTTGCGACAAGTCGAGCATCTTCACCTTACGGCCAAGCTTTCCAGCGAAATGTGCCGCCACGACCTCGATAGCCTGTTTGTCGCCAGATACGACTGTCTGCATCGGCGTGTTGTAGCCAGCGATGTCAACCTTGTCCTGTACGTGGAGAAAGGACATTGCCGCTGTTGTTTCCGCCCCAGTAGCCTCCAGCGACACCATACTCCCCCTTCGAATCCAGGCCAGGGCTTGCATCAAATGGCCACGGGCAGCCACCAACCGACATGCATCGGAAAGATCTAAAACCCCCGCAACGTGGACCGCCGCCAGCTCTCCCACGCTATGGCCTAGCACTACTTGTGGATGGACTCCCCAGCTTTGCCATAGCCGCCATAGTGCCACCTCCACGGAGAATATAGCGGGCTGCGCATAGTCGGTGCGGTCGAGTAGATTAGCGGCATCGCTCTGGGGTTCGGCCCACATTACTTCCAAGAGAGGCGTTTCAAGGCTGGGGAAGTATGCCACGACTTCTTCCAGGGCCTTGCAAAAGGTGGGATAGACCTGATAGAGTCTTTTGCCCATACCCAGCCGCTGACTCCCTTGGCCGGTAAACAACATGGCTAGGTGCAACCCCCGATCAGCGTATTCCATCTTGGTGCTGTGGATGACGCCGGCAGGAGGCTGCAGCTCGCTCATCTGGGCGTCTGCGCAAGAGGCCAGCTTTTTTAGCAGGCCCGCCTCGTCGTTGGCAATGAATGCCAAGCGTCGGCGGAAGTGGGTGCGTGCCAACAGTCGATCCCCCGGGGCGCATCCCGGTTCCTTCTGCATCGAGAGCAAGAGATTGCACAGTGCTCCATGGTTCGCCTCCACCCCCTTAGGGCGTCCCGTCGACCCGGATGAATAGATGACGTATGCGAGGTTTTCTGGCCGCACATTCTGGGTGGTTAGGTTGCTGCTGTCAACCTGCTTCATGTTGCCCCGTACCGCGTCAATACTGAGGCAGATATCCCGCCACGGCAACAGAGCCGTGACGGTGCTATCACTAACAACGACAAGCTTCGGACCGGCATCATTCACCATGTGCATCACCCTGTCCGCAGAAAAGGCCGGATCAATCGGCACGTACGCAACCCCAGCCTTGACCACCGCCAACACTGCGACAATCAGGTCAATGGACCGGTCAAGGGCCACACCGACCACATCCCCACGGCCGACCCCTCGCTCCTCCACCAAGATGCGGGCCAGCTGATTTGCAAGTCGATTGAGTGTTCCGTAGGGTAGTTGAGTATCGCCATAGATCACCGCAATGTTGTTGGGATATCGCTCCGCAACCTTTTCAAAAAGTTCGGGGAGGCAAAACCCTAACGTCGTGGCATCTTCGGTGGCGTTGAATTGCTCAATAAGAGTCAGATGATCCTCGTTTGAAATCGTACCGTCCATATCCCCCATATTTGCTGGTTGAAAGAGAGAATATTAGAGTGATTCGATCAGTCTTGAAATCTGTTAACGAGGAATTTCTTGGTGCCGGTTGGACTGATAGAGATCGCCAAGGCGACTTTATATAGCATCTATAGGCCAAGTCTAGTCACATGTAAATTGCCTTGGATTCATTTTTAAAAAGCATGTCATCACGTCTTTGCTCGAAGCGGTTCCCCGACGGTGGGTAGCGAGAATCACATTCTATACCGGCCTACAAAATGCTAGGCTCATGCTACATTGCAGGGATGAGGAAGAGACTAGTTGAAGCGAAACATCCCGCCACGGGTGTATAAAACGGCGATCTACTCCGTGCTTTGGAACAATGCCCCATTCGAGATATAGACAACAGGTATAGACCATATATTGCCACAAGTACAAACAGGGAATAGTGGCCACTCACAAAAGGTTTTAGGGTGGTTACAGAGCTAGCACATGTACTTTATTGAGACGAGAGCAAGGGCGTCAATCCACTAATTACCAACGGATCCTGGTTGGTTGGGAACTTTAGAATGCGTCCCTATGCTTCGTTCCTTGCTATCAGTGAAGGAATTTCTCATTCCCCACCGAAATCTTACGATTGTTTCCCTCGCCTGCAGTAGTACTACGTAGATGATGCAACATACAGTGCTATTCGGGCCGGACCACCACGGTGATCAGGACTCTTCCGGTGCCACAGTGGAGTGTAGATAAGGACAGCTCTGGCTGACATGCATGAGCCTCGGAAGAGGTGGACGAATTAGAATTTCCTGTCTGGAAGCAAGATTTCTGGTGCATAGTCTAGTTTCACTTGGAAGTAGATCTGAATTATGCAATAAGCCAAGTACGGAAAACCCGTAGTGGGTCCACCGACAATAGCAATGGTCTGGGCGCTCTGAAGGATTTACTAGTAGTTGATACCTACATGCAGGTTGACAGACTTCTCTTTGGCCCCGTTATAGTTCTTTGTAGCTTTTGAGCCATTGTTCCTTTATCCCGATGATTTAGAGAAATTCATGGTAGTGGTCAAATCATCCTCAGCATATATTTGACAGTTCTCATTGATCACTTTCTGATTCTGATTCTTAGAAACGTAGGATACGTACATCAGTGTACGCCTCTTGATGGTCGGCGAATAGCTGGTGCTGGAGATAAGTGAATAAATCGAACGTCGAGAGCTGGACCAGAGGTTCTGTTTCCAAGTCACTAAATCATAACCCCTCTACCCATGGACCACTGCACGCAATTTTTTCTCAGTGGGTCACTGTATTGTTTCCGAGACAGGCGTTGCAGATCAGACGGCTTTGCTATACACTACCAGCCCCGATGTAACATGATTCTATTTGATTGCTGGCTTACTTCCGTCGACCCCTCCTCTTAAATTAACCATGTGAGACTTCATCCGGGTCCCAGAGTCTAGCAAGCCAGAACACTGACGTAATTAACGTCTCACCCCGCGTCAATTTGCTATCAAGTTGTCGGAAAGGGTCGGGATCTGTGGAGATGGGAGTTGCGCGGTTTGATATGATGCAGTGGCAGAAGTACACAGGGGAAGGGAGGCGGATAAGATATAAAGCCATGGACCTTTTCTGCACTGGGTGAAGTTGTCTTCCGTATCAATTGTCTACTCATTCTCGTACTACGAGCCTTCTTGATCCTCATTCGACTTCAAACTCAATTATCTTGGTGCAGAAAGCCATCTCGCTCTTGTCTCCTCTATGTCTTATCCCAAGGAGTTTACTGGTTTCCAGGTCCCGAGCGCTGAAAAGTGGCTAGATTTTGAGAAAAGTACTTGGGAGCCTCGACCTTTTGGAGATTACGATGTCGATATCAAGATAGAGTGCTGCGGGGTGTGCGCTAGTGACGTGCACACTGCTCGTGGTGATTGGGGCGAGATGCCCTATCCTTTCGCTGTCGGCCACGAGGTCATTGGGAGGGTTCTCCGCGTGGGCCCAAAAGTAACCGTCGCAAAGGTGGGCCAGCGAGTCGGGGTCGGGGCCCAGGTTTACTCCTGTTTGGACTGCCGCCACTGCAAGAACGGCAATGAAACGTACTGCAAAGAACAGGTCAATGCCTATGGAGCGTCGTATCCAGGGACGGATTGTACGACCCAGGGTGGATACTCATCCCACACTCGGATTCATGAATACTGGTGAGTTCCCATAATCCGAAGACTCTGCCCGGGATATTCCTTGGTCGCTGACTTGTGGTTGTTCTCGCTTTCTGTCAAGGGTATTCCCGATTCCGGATAGCTTGGCTAGTAGTGATGCTGCCCCCATGATGTGTGCAGGTGTCACCGTGTACAGTCCACTAAAACGCTTCGGCGTAGGACCTGGCACCAAGGTTGGTGTAGTGGGTATCGGCGGTCTTGGTCATTACGCCATCATGTTTGCAAAAGCACTTGGTGCCAAAGTGTGGGCTATTTCCCGGTCACGCAACAAGGAGGCCGACGCGAGACAAATGGGAGCCGATGGCTTCCTCGCCACGAACGAGGAGGGCTGGTGTCAGCCGCATGAAATGACATTTGATCTGATTATTAGCACGGCAAGCTCCTTCCAAGACTTTCCGCCAACGCAACACCTCAGCCTTCTGGGCGTTCACGGACGCTTCCACTTGGTGGGCGTGCCCGGCGGCGACGGCCTCAAGATATCTACCTTTGACTTCATCGGGAACGGCTGCTCCATCGGCGCCTCAAACCTCGGGGGTCGGCGCGAGGTTCTGGAAATGCTGGACTTGGCGGCCACCAAGGGTATTAAGCCATGGGTAAAAGAGATCCCCATTTCAAAACAAGGTATTCAAACAGCGATCGAGCAGCTAGAAACTAGCAGTGTCCGCTACCGATCCTGCCTGGTGGCTTATGACGAGGAATTTGGGGCCTGAGTGGGGAGAGATGAGTTGTTTGGTCAGAGTCATTCACAGCAATATTGCCTCTACTTCTGTGCCTTTGTACGCTGAACGCTAGGAATGAACTGATTCCTGGCTTCGGCTGTTACACAATGTTTTCCACTCATCTGTATGACCTTACCTTCTTATTCGAGGTCTGATGCATGGTGCAAACTATGACATGTTGATAATCACGTAAAGTTGTACTGGGCTACAGGTTTTTCTAGCAACACACACATAGGCTATCTATTATGCTATGATTGTTGGAGTCTTCTTACATTCACATCTATCTGACTGGAGCCTTTATTTATTCGCCTATATCCACATCTAATACTACTATGACCATATTAATTCTACTGTACCGAATAATAGACAACGATTTCTTGACAAAGCGGGTCCCTTGAACTATATAGCCAATCAGAGGTCCCACAACCTAATAAATTACTAGTTCACTGTAGTCGCAACTCAAAGCGCTACCGTCTGATACCGTTTTCAAAGAAGAAATGGGATGGCTAAGGTGCTCGAAGCGCTGACCAAGACCAATACCGCTACAAGCTGAGAAAATATGAAACGTACGACTCTCATGTTGTTCACTCCTGCTATATCAGTCACTGCGGGCATGTATGCTACAGGCCAATGTCCTCTTCGCCTTATGGACGGGAAGCCCGGTGGGCCATCTACGCGTACGACCCACCACCGAAGGCTTAATCCATGTCAATCCCCGAACAGGGACTACGCGGCCGTCAACAACGCCGATACAACCTTACTACTGCAAGCCAAGGCGGCTTAGCGGTTTCCCAAATGCGGGAGACCTACCAATAATAGCAAGGTAGAAAAAGGAAGTGCAATTCTTTGTAACAGTATACCTGAAATGGCAATGGGTCACTCAAAATGGCAGGAATCCGGAACGGGAAATGCGCCTGAAGTGAGTCCAGGTCGGTCCTTGCCCCCCTGCAATCGCCCGGTGATAATTTGAAGAAATGACAGTCCGTAGTCTGTGCAACCTGGTAAATTAAAATATTCGGGAAGATAGGTGGCGAAGTGTCGTTCTTCTCCACGATCGCGGTGATTCTGGTCTCCAATTGTGTTCCTTCTGTCCTTTCCTACGAAAACGTTCGATCATCACGATACTAGGCGTGGATAAAACACGAAGTCAATAATAAATTGAACTAGGATGGCTGCCAAGAACAGGCTCTCGCCATTGGCTCTGCAGGAACTGAACTCTCGACTCTCATATACGGGACACCAATTAATCACCAGGGAGTCAGACCCAGCTAAGTACGCAAGGTGTATCGAGCGGTGGTCTATGGCGGCGGTGAAGCCTGCAGGAGCTGTCCTCATACCAGAAAGTATAGACGCTATCTCCATAGCCGTCCATTATGCCACACAGAAGTCTATCGACCTGGCGGTCCGAGGTGGTGGCCATTCCACTGCCGGGTCGAGCTCCACCGATGGTGGCCTCCTCATTGACCTCGGTTCCTCAACGCGGTTCACGCAAGTTAAGGTGGACAAGACGAAAGATCATTTGATAGCAGGGGGCGGAGCTAATTGGGATCACGTCGATGAAGCGGGGTTTGCTGCGGGCCTGGCGACAGTTGGCGGCACGGTCAGCGACACCGGGATCGGCGGCTTGACTCTTGGGGGCGGGTATTGGTGGTTGAGCGGGAAATTAGGTCTCAAGATTGACAACCTGATCGCCGTGGAGCTCGTGACAGCAGATGGGAAGGTCTTGACCGTGAGTGAAGAACAGAATGCACAATTGTTCTGGGCTCTTCGGGGAGCAGGACACAACTTTGGTGTCGCAGTATCATTCACGTACCAGGGTCATGCTTATGGCACAGGCCCGGTATCGAAACGCATCGCCGGCGCAGAGGGTGGACAGGCCTACGCGGGCACTTTGGTCTTCCCTGTATCACAGCTAAGTCAGGTCATCGCGGTGCTCGATAGGTTGTTTGGCGTACAGGGCTCATTGAAAGGAGGTACCGGGGCAGGAAGATTCGCTCTCGCAAGATCGCCTCCTGGGGGAGGTCCCGTATTCGATGATATATTGGACAGTGGTAGTTTACCTCCATTGGCACCTAACGCTTTGCTAAACGTATGCAGCCGGACGGCTACTTCTTTCTCAAGCCCAAGAGCATTGACGAGTCCGGAACCGTTCGGGCCTATGACGCCTGTACCGTGTGCTTCATCGACAAAGAAGTAGACGTTGTCTAGAACATCCTTCGCAACTTCGACCAGTTCTTTCAGCGGGCAAATGTCTCCTTCCATACTGTACACAGACTCTACAGCAACGAACACCGACCGCTCCTTTTCTTGTATCAATGGCTGGCCCAAGGCTGACAGTAACGCTTCTCGAAATGACTCAACACTGTTGTGGTGAAAGGAGATCTTGTCTGCGCGGCCTTTTTGCATCCCATCGTGGACACTGGCGTGAACCAATTCATCGTAGAGGATAATATCGCCCGCCTGTGGTATAGATGTGTAAATGGCCACATTGGCTTCAAATCCTGATCCAAGAATGAGGCCACATTCAGCACCGTGGAAGCCTGCAATTTCCTGCTTGACCTTCTCTAGATAGATATACCTTCCGTCGGGTAGTGAGCGGGCTCCTCCAGAAAGAATGATTGGCCCTTCGAACGTCGAGTTTCTCTTCGATGTTTCGAAAGAATGCCGGCGCATCTTGCATGGTTGGTGCTTGGAGCTTATGACCCTCGATCCAACTTGAAAGCATAGTCGAAGACATATTGTTTCAGTTGTTCAACTATTTCACTTCCAAGGGACTGAAAGTCAATTGCGTGTGCTTGCAGAGATGTTCTCACTCGATGCGTCTCCGCCTTCTCTATATAAATTTCATGAACTCTCGGATGCTGACACTGCATTAGTCCGTGTTAACAGCCTTACTCTATTCAGCAACTTGGCTCATTTCAGTTCTTTAATTAAACCCTGTACCTTGTACCCAGCCGGGAAAAGTATTAATTCACTAACTAGACATAAACAGATCTACTTGCATGATTTGAAGGGATTACTTGGTCAGACATGGCATGTGATTATACGTCTTTCCACTTCAGAAACGCTCTAATAAAAATTGTAAGACACTAACCTCAAGAAACATAGGTATGGATTGACGAAGAATAAGCCGCATGGAGTGCAGCTTGTTCTGTGTGAAGAGACTATTCAAGCCTACTATCACCATAGAAATTCCTGGCGGAAGACCTTGGAATAGGTATCCACGGATAATCCGGCCTAACCATTTTGGGAAACCAATCCTGATCGGGTAATGGCCCTATTTGACTTAGCGTGCAAGTAAGTCCCCTGACTCTGACTCCACTCATAGATAGTCTCTCACCTTCAAAGTACAATCAACCTAGAATGCTTGATTCCCTAAATATGTCACCCCGAAATCATGTTATCGTTTGGTATTTCCCAGTGGCCCCCCCTGGTGTTGACTACTGCACCTTTGTCGCCCACATCGCCTTCACATGTGTGAATCGTGACCTGGGCTTTCGCAACAACGCAAAAGTTTCGTCCTAGAGCTTGGTCAGCTCGCAGTAGTGGATTGGGTCCAGTCCTAATTTTTAGCTGTTTACGACACCTGATCCCTATCACTTATTCCCCGTTAGATCGCAATGTACGAACAGATCGACGTCGACGATCGTGAACTCGAGGCCCAGGGGTATGCACCGGCAATGCCCAGGCGGTTTTCACTATTGTCACTTTTTTCGCTAGGCTTTGCGCTGACAGCTACGTGGAATGGATTCGGGAGTGCTATCGGAGCTAGCTTGGCTCAATCCTCCTCATCGGGAACTATATGGACTCTGGTCATCGCTGCTCTAATGAATTTTGTTGTTTCACTAGGAATGGCGGAGCTCGTTTCGGCTTTTCCAAACTCTGGAGCACAATATTATTGGTCGTACAAAGTTGCGAGTCCAGAATGGGCGCCTCTTGCGTCATACATGTAAGCGCAATCGATTGTTGTGCCGTGTTCTACTCGATCATTCTGCCTAACGTGGATAGGTCGGCTTGTATCAGTACGTGCGGCTGGTGGCCAGGTCTCGCTAGCGTATGCAACTTTGTTGCGGCCACAATATTGGCTATATTGCAGATTTGTGTTAAAGAGTACACTCTCCGCCCTTCGCATCAGTGGTTTTGCTATGTTGCAATCATCTGGCTAGCTGCCCTACTCAACATATATGCCACACGGTTCCTCCCAACACTAAATCAATATCTTCGTGGGTAGAAGGATTATCCCCAGTGTCAACTATTTGCTAACTGTGTTTCAAATGATTCAAGTTTACTTTTCGGTGTCAACACTCCTCATCACTATCCTGGTCATCCTTGTATGCGCCGCTCCAAATTACCAGTCCAGCGTATGGGTTTTTACAGATACAACAAGTTTTAATAGGTCATATGACAAAAGCTTTCTCTTTGTTTTATGCTTATTGAATAATACTTATGGCTTTATGGGTACCGATGCTGGTGCTCATATGGCCGAAGAGATCCCTTCTCCGTCCATCAATGCACCCAAGGTCATGGTAAGGTTTCCATGTAACCTGCATCATTACCCTGTAATTCTGTGCTGACAGTCAAAAGATATACCCAGTAATTATCGGGCTGGTCACTAGTAAAGTACCCCATATCGCAGTGGTGGCTTTTGATATACAAATCTAACATCTACAGCATGGCCCTTTGCGGTTGCATGTATGTATGTGATAAACGACATTGAAAGAGTTGTCAATCCTCCAAGCGAGATCAGCTTGGTCGAAATTTATCTCCAAGCTACGGAAAGCGAATTCACGACTATTTTACTCTTGGCAGCTTTTGCAATATGCCTCTTTGGGTGCGCAGCCGCCAATATCACAGGTTCAAGTCGTCAAATTTGGGCCGCATCCAGGGACAATTGCTATCTTTTATCAACATGGCTAGCAGTAGTCCACCCAAAGCACAAAATGCCTATGAACGCTGCCTGTCTGACAGCAATTTTCGCTACGGTAAAGGTAAATAATGTATATCAAGCATTAAAGCTAACTTCGTTAGCTCTACGGATTAAACTTTTTGCGATCAAGTACTGCTTTTGCTTCAATGGTCAGCGCCAATATCGTTTTTATGATGACCTCGTATGTCATTCCACAAGGAATTGCTGTGTGGAGGGGACGTTCTAGCGTTCTTCCTAGACGTCATTTCAATCTTGGAAGATGGGGATCATTTGTCAACATCACTAGCTGTGTGTGGGTTTGTTTTCTGGACATTGTGGCTTGCTTTCCAATCATTCGGCCAGTCACTGCTGCCAACATGAATTGGGTCAGGTAAGATGTTTCCCTTCTCAAAGCCGCATTAGATCTGTTGAGCTCAGAAAACTAACGCTTCTGTCCTCCAGTGTTGTCATATTTGTCACTACTGCCTATATGGTCTTGGCTTGGTACCTCTGGCAACGACACGTATTTACGGGCCCGAGGTTGGGCACGCAGTTCATACAAAAATCCCGTTCGCGAGTTGCGAGTCTTCCTCATAAACATTCTCCTTGCGGCCTGCTTGATCAACCCAGCAATGAGACCATCGACAAAGACGGGAAAGTGGATTGATTGTCTATGCCTGGCTTCTGTGGGTATCTTGACCGGTCCAAGAACAGTTTGTCTATATCCGAATGTGCTTTTCATCGGATATCACGAGAAGGGATTATATGACGGTCTGGCACAACACGGTTCTGTTTAATCTGGATAATCATTTGGTTTAGGAAGGGTGCATACCCGATATTAGAATAGAGACCAATATCTGGGATGAATAAGATGCGTGCTTAGTCTCTTTATTACTACTCTAACGTGGCCGTGGATCTGTCGTGGAACTCAACAATATCCCCGATCCGCAAATTTGCGGAGCGCATTTGCAGATATGCCGCAGCCTGGGACTCACTACTAGAGTTCGTCCCTTGCTCTTCTCTCTTCTAGGTTCTCCAGAACAGCATTTGCAAGCAACTCGAAGTCCGCATACTCCTCGACCTCCACTATATGCTCCCCGTCCCACTTTGTCGCCCATAGATAGGTCTGGTTATATGGTTTTCCTGTGCAAAGTGTCAGTAGACGATATTAACCTAGTTGACATAGCCCGCTTACCATTCAGCAGTAGGGATCCGTTCTTCGAAGCCATTGAAATGGATACCCAGTCCCCTTCCGCAGCCCGAAAAATCCGTGCGATCGCAATGGTTTCCGGGACCTGAAACATTTTGTCGACTTCCATTTCCACGGCTTTGATGCCTTCTCGGTCATATACGCCAGCGTAGCGATGGCTGCCACGCACCACAAATCTGCAATCCGGAGCAAGAACATTGTCGATGAAGTTTAGACTGTCGCCTGTCTCCCAGGGGCTGAAGAGCTCACGGATTCGTTCAACAGAAGGGGCGGGGGCCATTGCTGCTATAGGCCTGACTTGGCCAAGGAAAATCAAGACAGCGGAGAAAAACCGAAGCTTCATTGTGCAGATATGGTACAATGCTAATCCTGAAGGGCTGGTTGTTGGCTATCCGTTGGGGCTGCGATGTGATGTGGGCGGAGGAGATACTTGGCCGATAGAGCGTGGCCAATGCCTAGATCGAGAGTCAAGTGACAGGGTTGATACTTTGAGGGACCCTAGTAGGGCTCTAGAATAGTAATTGTTTTCTGACGAAAGGTCCTGACCTCTATTGGAGCCGGTGATGAGAACATTGTAAGTGGATGTTGCCATACTGAAGTCTCTAGACTGAGGTCTTCTAGTTAAAGAATAATAAAGTTGGATTCCTCATAGTGCACAGAGTACAGATGTCAACCAAAATGACCGATATAGTTTAGGAAGCTCCAGATGATCCAGCCACCGGCCCTGACGGTCATAAAGTTAGTTATGTGCAAGAGAACTAATTCAGTAGGGGAAGGTTCGAGTCTCCAGGTCCTAAATTCATTTACTTGAAAATGCTACCATCAGTGCACATGATTGATACTGATATTTGTTGACAACTGTCAATGACTACATTATGCAGGTTAGGATATAGACCATATTAATTTAGCCCGGCACGGTTGTATGTTACTCCGTACGAGTAAGCTGGGTACATTTGATCGCACCGTAACAAACTGGAGATATAGTAATTACGTGTATATATCCCTTCCTATAGTATCCCTCCTATCTAAGGCATCTAGAGCATCTCTCTACGACGATGCCGCCCCGGGTAGGAGCTATTATTGAGAGCCATGGATGCTATATTCCGTGATAGACTACCTAGTATGAATATCATTACCCAAATTGGCTACTTGCCGAATAGAGATACTACCACATCCGACTTTCCGCAGCAGTGCTGTAAGGGTCCTGACATTGCAATGTCATGTGACTCATCACATGACCCTTCAGAACCTCCTGAAGTGCAGCACACCTTGGGCCACTTATTCCCAGTTGAATACATGTTACCTTTCAATTCTTTGTGCCTTACAGGTGCTACATTTGACGCGATTCTATGTCCTGCTGGTCTTGGTCTTGCACCAAGCATGGGACAGCACAGTTCTGGAGCCAGTGGAACTTGCTCAACTACCCGGCCATCGTGACCGGAAGAAAAGAGTATCTACCCTCATGACCCGTGCTGATAAAGATAATTGGGATCTCTGTAAGCCAGCAGCCCAGCCCAAATCCACCTTTATTAAAAAGCTGACCGCCAATGCATATTGACTTTTGCTTTAAATCATCCAAAGCATAGCCGCATTTGCAACGGATAACAAGACACGGTGTGTTTTCGATCCACGATGTGACCCCACCACACGTTCTCAAATCCCTTCGCCTCCTGCTCCGCCCATACTTCTTCAAGCAATGGAATGGTGCTCCCAAACATCTGATACCGCGTCCGGTCATTCCACACCGAGCAGAACTGCACGATCTTGTTCCGTATCGATCGATCGCGTAGTTCGCAGCCCGCGAAGAAGAGCGGCAGCAATGCTTGTCGGGCGACCATGCTCTCGTCACGACACGCTACCACATGGTCCACAACAACCCGAACCCAACGGACAACATGCGTTGGAATTGGACTTCCCGGCTTCCATCGGAAAACGCGGTAAATATAGAGAAGCAGGCCGTGTCTCCACGCCTCCGAGCAGTGCATACAATCTTGGTCTTTTTGGATGTCCTCTTCGCTACTACCGAAGGCAAGCGCGGCAGGGGAGATGTGATGCCAGGACTCGAGCGCTTGCTCGATCTGGGCAATCATCGTGGTGTCGAAGGTCACGTACCGCATGGATGACGATTGGCGCTTTTCGGCACTCAGACGCACAACTTGCATGAGCAGCGTGACCACGCTGTGTGGGCACCCGCAGAGGTCAAAGAAATTCCACTTCCGATCATCGGGGTTCGATAAGATGGCTTCGACGTATGCGTACGGGAACACGCAGTCTTCCCGGGATAAGAGACTGGTGATGGCATCCCACCTAAATACTTTAGCTGGAAGGGCCGGGCTGATTTTGCCTAAAAAGTTTGGTTGGGTGGGGGTGGGGGGCGGGGGGCGGTTATATACCACAACAGCAATCCTATTTGAGCGTCTGCTCGAGCGGACGTGGTCCATGCTTCGATGCCCCCGCACGCTTCGATGAGGCCGTAGGCTCCCTTAAGATGCGTACTCCAGTATCCAAGGGTGGATTGAGTTTCCTAATCTTCGTTATCAACTTGGAATAGGTCCGAAAAACAAAGATAAAGGTGCTAACTAACGTCGAAGGAAAATAAGATCATAATCGCATCAAGCACGGAGGAGCCATCTTCCACATTAACGGATGCGTTGAGGCTCTCGCGGAGGAGTTTCAATGCTGTATAGCGATGGTCGTCGGTTGATGGGCTCTTGACATGATGACCCGCTAAAGCCATCACGGCATGTACCAGAAACATAGGTTCCGGAACGATGGTTTTGCGGTATCGAAACGGATTCATCTGTAAGTCGAACGTTAATGGGATCGTGCAGAATTCCAGATTGTCTATGACTTGTTAGTGGGCATTGACAAGAGCGACTGGGAGCAGAATAAGCGAATATCTCTGAAGGACAGGCCCAAACCGCTGCCAGATGCTATTGTACAGTACGCTCGGTGGCATAAATGTAGTAGTGTTGGGGAAGTCTGAAGCTGCCATGGGACTTGACTCTATAGTAGTAGCGACTTGACTCGACCATTCATAGAAGGCGTCTCCGTCAGCTAATTGTAGCTGTCCGTCATCTGTCGGTGTAGATGAACATGGGGATTGGCCTTGGTCTTCTTCACAGTTATCGCGATGCGGCTGTAATTCAGCTGTCCTAGAATCGGTCTCGGGGCCGGGAGAATCTGCAGCTCTAGTTGTTGGCGATGCATCACCCGAGACCTTGAATGGCGTCTCTACGGAGAGGCTGGCTTCCTTGGAAACATTGACTTGAGAAAGAGTTTTAAATTAGCCAAGAACCGTAGGTTTCTATTGGTCTTTAGAAGCCAGACAAAGGACAGGACAATACCATCAGGTTCGGGGTCTTTTTACCTCGTAGTTAGTAATAGGTTCAACAGGCGCTCCGGAAGGTGGATAAATGATGGCTGGTTGAAAATGTATGGTCTTACGATCTCTCATAGGATGTTCTGCAACGAACACGAATTGCTGAGGTCCATCTGCGTTTCCCAACCGACCCCTATTGGTCCTACGGGCTGCTGACCTTTTTACGGGCCTATTGGAGAGAGAATATCCTGGCTTCCAGGACAGCTGCATTCTGCCTGTTCCGTAGATACCAATTAGGGTATGGCCAGATTTTTCGCAATGTTCGCATCGAGCATTGACGGATACCTTGTGGAAAGGGGCATCCTATGAGGGGGCGGTTGCGAGCAGAGAGAGAGGGATCAGGTACTAACTAACTAGGCACCGGGTTCAAGCTTAGTAAGAGTATAGTTAGTATCTTGACGTAATCAACCACCGAACCGCGGATCATCCGCCGTAGCCACCACTACTTGAAGCTGATTCAACCACCAACCGCATCAGATGGGAAAAGTGTCGCACTCGCGGCTGTGCTCCACGCCGGCTATGTTTCGTCCACGTTAGCATGTTGCTGCCTTAACATGCCTGGCTGGCCCACCGAACTTCTCGAACCCAGTGAGCCTGATACTCGTGTAGTTTGGAGATGCGAAGGCGAACAAGCGCCTTTTTATATTCTAGACGTTGATATTCAACCGCGTCAAAATCCCCCTTCTCAATGAACTCTTGGGTGTGAGACCGCATTACAACTAACTTGGGAGATGCTAAGATCGCTTCCTCAACATCGGCGGGTAGGGCATCAGGTAGTCCCAATTCCCGGCATTGACGATGACCTGGGAAGTAGTCTATTTTTTGGGATGTATATTCTCTTTCATTAAGGACGTCTCCAACCGTATCAGTCGATGAACAATGTGCTTGATAGTGTTCGGGATATGTCTGGTCAGTTTTGTGTGCATAGATCTCTGAAACAGGAGCAGAGCCGTGTCTGGCTAGGGGAAATGTAAGTCTATATGAAGCGGGAGTCGAGTCCGATTGGCAACCTGCCTTCGATCACTTTCCCCAGGTTCAAGCGTCTGTCATGGATTGTAGCATCCGCCGGCTAACTGGCAATAATAAAAGCCGCATGAGATAAATTGGCAAAACCTTTCTATGCTTTGCCGGAGGAATGAATGCCCCCAACACATGCTAGAGTGGTCTGTACAGTCCCTCTTTACTTCTCGCTGAGCCTTCCTACTCCCTACTCCTTCAGTCGAACGGACATACCAACGGATAAATTGCTTGATAAGCGCAATGTCGGGTGCTGGGCAGCCCTCCTTTATCTCAAAGTCAGGCGGCTTAAGTCCATCTTCCACTAGGAATCTGACACTGAAGTGAGATTGGGTAAGCTGAAGAATTGTTTGCATCCACTCAACACTCAATCTTGGAACACTTTGACGTATCCGGCCTGTGGCTGCTTGAGTTCGCCAATGCGTTTATGCTTTCCACGCTCAGAGTCCTGTTATCTATGTGCGGTTGGATTAGATCTACTTGTCAAACGTTGTTCATGGCGTTTTTGCTTATGGGCATCCTCACGTCGAGGATGATCCTTCTTTGGGCCTATAGCCATTTTATGGGCACGCTGTAAAACCGTGGATGAGAGAAGCTATAAACCAAATATGAAGAGATACACAGAAGAAGCAATTAACTTGTAGAGGGGAAAAAAAAAAGGCCTCTTCCAGATGAGGAAGTAGCTGGCCTTTATAATACCTTCGTTGCAAGCCATTACCCGAGCAAATCGATGATCCATCATCGACATTTTGTTTGCGTACCCAAAGGAAATCGCCACACTAGGCTGGTGTCATTTAGTTTTCCTTTCCTTTTCTTTTCTTTTCTTTTCTTTTTTCTTTTTTTTCTTTTGGCCCGGATATAGCGAGGAATGAGTAGACTCGAGAAATGCCTATGTGGACCGTTCAACAGGCCGCATAAAAGAAAAGGGCATGCGATTAAGCCGGGAAGGACGTGACGGCTCAGTGGACGCTTAGTAAGTTTCTTGGTGAGTCCTTAGTGAGCGGTGATTCGATATAAATTACTTACTGAGAAGGCCCTGAGTACTCTCACTGAAGCGGCGGCACCCAGAAGAGAAAATCCCGAGTCATGCTTGATGTTCTGACACGTATAGGTACGTACACAATTCATCAATCTCAATTTCTTATGCTACATAATATACAGTTAAGCAACAAAACAATATACTAATCATTAAACCCTTACCTTATCTCCCGAACGCAATCCTCTGCCATATACCCTCTACATCCCGACAAAGATCGAGGAACCCATCGTCTTCGAGCTGATTGCAGATCCACGTTTCTAAACTAGCCATACGCTCTTCGGTGGGGTTGGATATATATGAAGAAAGATCTGCTGTCGTAACATCCATAATCTTTTCTTGTTGCGCCTCTCCTTGCTTCCCTGTCGATAGTTTGCTCGCTTCCGTTCTCTCGGCTTGTAGATTGCTATTGGTAGATGGGTAAGATGGAACAACTGGTGGATTGGCTTCTTTTAGACACGGAGGTTGATTATGTGGTCCTGTGTGAGCCGATATGTTTGGTTCTGACTCTGGATGAGGCTTTTGTCTTTCGTTTTTGGCGTTGGGTAATTTTGGTGGGAGTAGTCGTAGGCGAGGCATGGTAGTCCTTTCGCCTGATGTGGCTGGTCGTGTTTGCGTTTGCATTCTCATTTGGTTTGAATGAGCAATCTGGGATGGTTTGGTAGGTATTTGAGAATTGTTGGTTGTATCTTTTGCTTTCATAAAGGGTTAGTGCAGGTGTAGATGTGACAGAATTTATATCTAGCCTCCGTACCAATGTTCAATGAGGTACCACTGGTGACTGTCGCGTATGGGACAGCGGTTGGTGCTTTTGTCATGGTATTGGCTTTTTTGGAAGTACTCGACCATGGAAGAACTCTCCGTGGTGGTATGTTTATCTCTGGTTTGAGAAGACGTTCAGCAGCTGACGAGGTGAAGGGCCTCGATGTGATTATGTCGGAGCTTGTCACGTCCTTCTGGCCGACTGCTGGGGCGTACTGGAATGGTGTACGTGCTGTTGCGAGGGAAACTTGGTCTTTGCTCCCCTTAGCACGGGTCGTATCACTTGTTTGAGCAGTGCTCCATGATGTAGATGGTAATGAGTTGCCTGCTGGGGTCAGATAGATAGTACTGCGCCGATGGCGACGGAAAACCCACAAGCTGTAACGCTAGATGACGAACCTGATGCACCGGTGGTCGATGAGCGTTGGAGACTAGAAGCACCCGTAGGCTCGGATGGACCTGGCATACTACGCATGCTATAGGGAGGTTCTCTTCTCATAGATGTCCCTTCGATTGAGCCCGAGTTCCATTGTGACGAGGTCAATTTGCGCATGTTTCCGACGCTAGGCTCTGAGACCGGACATCCTAATTCTCTGAGAATAGACAAAGCGGTGTAGTAGTCGGAATCAAAGGTGAACTTGATTTGAAATCGGCGGACCTATGATGGTGTTGGTTATGAGTCGAAACAGATAGCCACTTTTCGTACCGTATTTCCCCGTGGGTATTTCACTGCAAGGCACGGCGGCTTCACGACCACTGCGAATATTGGCTTGGATACTGCGTGTTGACTCGACTGGGTTATATTTTCAGCTTCGATAATGAAGTGAGTGAGGTCAATCTCTTCCTGAAAACCACTTCCATTAGCATCTGGCTTTCCTCTGCTCCTATCCCCAAGATGACTGTTACCAAGCTTTCATGGACACGGAGGACCTTCAATAGTACTCTGTCTGGGGTGAAGCTTGTCATCGTGCGCCTCTCGAATATAGCGGTCATATCTCCGTTTCCCATTATATGACTCCAGTTGAGCGGGCCTCTGTGGTTAAGCGATGTAGTTGTATGGGAGAACTTGGCTAATGATAGACGAGTAAGAACGGTTGAATCGGGAGGATGTTGGGCCCGGCTTTGCATCATGCGGACTGCGATGTGGATATGGAGGGACAAGTTATGTTAATGTTAATGCAATATATAAAGACTATTATGATAGTCAAACTATGGTGAGTGATATGAAGGAGCTGATGAGGGGCACTAGGAGACAAGGAAATGACATGGCGCTTGGAAGTATAGAGCAGGTGACTGGAGGCTAAGCCTAGTATTGCCAACACGGACAATACACTTCTTTTACAGTCAACCATAGTATCAGATACCAAACATTAGAGAGATGGAAAAATGAACTAGAATAGACAGCAATAGTAGTGTGTCGAATCTCGAATGCGCTGCTTTGACAGAGAGAATTAATTTTTCTTATCTAGAAGTTACTAGGCTTCGGTTAGAGGTCAGAATAAGGAAGAGGAAGTGAGATAGACCAATGCAAGCCATGATGATCGACGAACCCTGATCTACCGGTATAGTGGGTGCCTGATATATGTGGTGATAATTCAGGCACTCCATGTGGTGAGGATTACTCATCTGGCCAAACCAGACAAACCAAGCAAACATGACCGGAAACGAGCATTCCGGAACAACCATGACTCCGGCCACGCGCCTGAGGCCAGAAGGAGCAGCAGCGCGGACTTTTGCCCTGCGGATGAACGACGGACGGATCGATCGCAGGATCAGCCTGTCTTCATATTTACGCTGCGCACTCCCTCCCCCGGCCTTCGACAAAGGAATTGGCGCCTGTCCTCGGGTTATATCTGTCGCTGCTACTCTTCGATAATCCGCGCGGCGACTCTTTCGATTATATTCCAGAGCGCTTCTCACGCGAACGTCTGTTGTTGTCCCGTTGTCGCATCCTCTCTGGTTTCGAATAGGCAGTTCTCCGATAGCTTCATATCGCGACCAAGCTCTCAGCCCGTTACCGGAAAACATCGCTCGAACCCAGCAGGCGAACAAACTCTCCGGAACACGACGAACTATCGATTCCACGCACATATACTCCGATCATCTAAGAAAGGGAATTCGGAACGATATTCCAGAAGAACAGGAAGAACGGCTTTCGAGAAACGGAGCATTTTCGACTCCAACTTCTCTTTGGCGCGTTTAATAGCGAGGTCTCGCGCTTTTTTGCGAAAGGTGCCCTTGACCAGTAGCCTGGGTCCGTTGGGTCAACCTTGGTCTTTCTCAGAGGTATTCCAGGGCGCCCTAGGAGAACCGGTTATCCCCTTCGAAGTCGTGGAGCGATACTCGCAGTCGGTTTTTGGCGTGCTCGAGTCAAAGCCAACATGTCTTCCCAAACCCCCCGCACGTCCCTCCGAGGTAAGTGCTACCACTCTCATTTTGCCTCTGTCACTTCCGTTTTTGTTGAACGACCAGTGCTAACCGTCCGTAGAGGGCTT